GCCAGCTAGGGACCGCAACGTAAGGGGGCGGGAAAAGGCGTGCGTTTCTGAGACAAACTAGCCAATGAGAACTCCGACTATAGCGCGGATGGCCTACAATGACAGACACCCTGGGACCTTTGTAACTGACACAGCATAAGTAGTTGTGGAATAGATTTAAATTTTCTCCTAAAGGAAATGATTTCACCAACTTCTCGTAATCAGAAAGTGCCCACTAAGAATTAGAACACATCTGTTTCTTACCGAAGCCTACACTAACTTATGTTTCTCAAGCATCACTGTCAACTGTTCTTATTCGCTGTCTTGTAAATAATGTAAAGCAAGTATAAAATGAGATTCCTTCCCTTAAGCCCACTGAAACTTAACAAGGGAAGAAACTTGCACACATACAAGCTGAAGTTTCATATAGGCAATTTTACCTGAACTGTGGGTTTTGGGAGGAAATAGAATTCTGAGAAGGGCATTATATTTTCTTCATTTCTATAAGAGTATATTTCCAAGTTCCTGTAACAGTGTTCCACAGTAAGAATAAAATAGGTGTAGAGGAACACTGAACTTAGAGTATGTTTTGTGTTGTGTTAACAAAATTGCACAAATACTTGTTTGCAGTTTTTGGAGAAACAGATCACTCCCTGCAGGCCAAAATGTATTTACAGAAAGCTTTGCTTTGTATGGTTTATCTTGTTTTTTGTTTTAATGTTATTTGTAAACGTAAATACCATGCTGATGTTAATTTTAAAAATTTTAATCTGTTGATGACTATGTGATTACCATTTCAACTGTTCCATGGTCACTTCTTGGTCTAAACACCAGGCATTCGGGTGAATTAAACAAGGTTTATTGTCTACAGAACCTAGCTCTGACTAGGTAGCTCCAAGTAACTCAATTGGTTAGAGCAAGGTTGCAGAGCCCAGTCAAGGCTCATACAAGAATCAACCAATGAATGCATAAAAAGTGAAACAATAAATTGATGTTTCTCTCTTTTCTCTCTTCTCTCTCTCTAAAATCAATAAATGAAATTCTACTAATAATAACTTTTTTAAAAGGCCCTAGTCAAGTGGCTCAATTGGTTGGAGTACTGTCCCAAACACCAAAAGTTTGCAGGTTCAATTCCTGGTCAGGGCACATACCTAGGTTGCAGGTTTGATCCCCAGTCAGGGTGCATACTGGAGGCCACCAATCAATGTTTCTCTCTCTCTCTCCACCCCCTTCTTTCCTCCCTCCTTCCCTTCCTCTCTCTCTTAAACCAATATTTTTTTTTTAAATCCCAGGGAGAGGATTAAAAACAACCTAGAAGGACATGAACACAGAGAGCAACAGAAGATCATCCTCACTGTTAGAGTACATAGTTGTGCAAGGTCATACCTGAGTGAGTATCACATCAGTCCTTTCAAACCCAGCCTAATACAAAGGAAGTTGGAGAACCAGTTCATGAAGATCAGAGTTTCAGGATACACAGTATGATGCTGTTTATGTGTTGATTCATTGATTCTTGTATGTGCCCTGACCAGGGATCGAACTCACAACCTTGACATATGGGATGACACTCTAACCAACTTTATACCAATCCCTGGTATAAAGAACTCATACAACTCAATAGCAAAAAAAAAAAGAAAGAAAGAAAGAAAGAAAATCCAATAAAAAAATGGGCATAAGATCAAAATAGACATTTTTCCAAAGAAATACAATTGGCCAACAGGCACATGAAAAGATGCTCAATGTCATTATTCAGCAGAGAAATACAAATCAAAGCCAAAATGTGATATTACCTCACTCCTGTTAGAGTAGCTGTTATCAAAAAGACAAGAAATAAGTGTCAGGGAGGATGTGGAGAAAAGGGAGCCCTTGTGCACTGTTGGTGAGAATGTAAATTAGTGTGGCCACTATGAGAAACAGTATGGAAGTTCCTGAAAAAAGTTAAAAATAGAACTATCAAATGATTTAGCAATTCTACTTCTGGGTATTTACCCAAAGAAAACAAAAACATTAACTCAAAATGATATATGAACCCCTCTTTTCACTGCAGCATTATTTACAACAGCCAAGATATAGGAACAACCTGTGTCCATTAACAGATGATTGGATAAAGATGTAGTACACAAGTACAATGGAATATTATTCAGCCCTAAAAATCTGTGACAACCCTAGCTGGTATGGCTCAGTGGTTTGAGTGCTGGGCCTGTGAACTGAAAGGTCACCAGTTTGATTCCAATCAGGGCACATGCCGGGGTTGCAGGCCAGGTCTCAGCTGGGGGCATGTGAGAGACGACTGACTGATGTTTTCCTTGCACATCAATGTTCCTCTTCCTCTTCCTCTCTTTCTCCCTCCCTTCCCTTCTCTCTAAAAATAAATAAATCGAATCTTCAAAAATTTGAGACAACATGGATGGACCTCAAACACAGAAAGACAAACACTGCATGATATCTCTTATATGTGGAATCAAACACACACAAAAAACAAGGTCATAGATACAAGAGAACAGATTGATGGTTGCCAGAGGCAGTGGGGAAGAGAGGTGGGGGATGGAAATTGGTGTGTACTATTTCATTGTTTTTTATTTAAATAAATTGAATTAAATTTTTTAAATAAAAAAACAATTACAAATGGGTGACAGAGACTTGGAAGAAATTTGAGACAATAGAGTAGCACCGTTGCATGAGTAGAATGCTGCATTATCAGTATCCTTGACAAGAGAGAATGAAATGATACAGAAAAACAACAGTATCATCAACTGAGTGGAAAATTAAATATAGAGAAATATTAGGAATGCCTTTGCTAGTTAATTTTGTTTATATATAGTTTTAAATATAGATTGTCTTTATTCTTACATTTTTAATCTTTTTATCCTCACCCGAGGACATGCTTATTGATTTTAGAGAGAAAAGAAGGAAGGGAGAAAGAGAGGGAAACATTGACATGAGAAACATGGTTGCCTCTCATATGTGCCCTGACCAGGGACCAAACCCACAATGCAGGCACACGCGCCCAGCAGGGAATCAAAACGGCAGCCTTTCAGTTTATGGCATAACAGTTCAATTAACCATGCCACACCACTGTTTATGCATTTCAATGTATGTACAGGAGTAGTATATGATATATTTTTTAAGATTTTATTTATTTATTTATTTATTTATAGAGAAAGGAGAAGAGAGCGAGATGTTATATGATATAACATCACTGTATGGTTGCCTTTCACGCACCCCCTTACTTGTGGGGGCGTGATTGTGTGGACCTGGCCCACAATCCAGGCATGTGCCCTTGACTGGGAATGGAACCTGTGACCCTTTGATTCACAGGCCGGCACTCAACCCACTGAGCCACACCAGCCAGGGCTGTATATTTTTTTTAATTTGACATTTTTTTCTTTAATGTGCTAAATAAAATAATAGCACATTTTACAACTGAAAGTATCACTCTTAAGTTCAGTGAAATATATGTATCTAATAGAAATGTGAGAGGGAAAGAATAGAGTAGGGAAAAGGCAATATTTGAAACCGTAAGGGTTGAGAATATTCTAGACTTGATGAAATGCATGAATCTGCTGATTCAGGAACACAAAATTCCCTGAACATGATAAATAAAGCTAAATCCACACCTCGATACATAGAAAAACTAAAGAATTCTATAGTCCAAGATAGGATATCAAATGCAACTAAATGGAAATGCTGTGGTGAATACAAAAGAGAAATAACAAAGCCAGGGGAAGAATATATACTATGAAAATGATTACTATGTAAAGTGCTCCTTTTAAACAATAAGAAAAAGAAGTTTAATGGAAAAATACAAACATGCAATGGTCAAGAAATGTGAGAAATGTACAATCAGTAACACTTTCAATATGCAAATTGAATTTTCACACAAATTTAAAAGCACTGATTTAAAACTGAGATTGCTAATATCAATAGTTAGAAAAATCAGAGGAAATGATCATGTTCATAGTCTTAGCTGGAATGTAAATTGCAATCTTTTAGAGCTCAATTGAGTAGCGTTAATCAAATATTTAATGTGTATGCTCTTCCACCCAGCAATGCTAGTTCAAGGAGTTGATCTCACAAAAATCACTTAAGTACCCAAAGGTGTTTGCAATTACATGAAATTGGTAAATTATGTTACAAATGTAAGATACAGGTATATCTCATGTATTGCGCTTCGATTTACTGGGCTCCAAAGGTGTAGTGATTTTTATAAATTGAAGGCAAGACCCTCCGTCTGCTAGCAAAAAGACCACGACTCTCTTTACCACCTGTCTACCTTTATTGCGGTGGTCTGGAAAGAACCGCACTATCTTCGAAGTACGCCTGTTACGCCTTCTTTTTAAAATAGTTTTTAAAAAGTACTCACATAGGAAATGCGTACATGGCATAAAATAAATATATTTTATTAAGTACACTGCATAAGTGTTTGCGATATGAACTCATATTTCTCTTCAAAAAATGTATTTGCATAGAAAAAAGCTTATAATGCTGTACACAGAAATGATTGATAGGAGCTTGGCATGTGGGGGGCGCGTGTTAAGAGACAATGGTGGGAGTTAATTTTGTTGTATAACTGTACACCTCTTTATCTTTTGACTTTTAGGAACGTGTCACTTCTACAACAAAAATAAAGTGTGCACTTAAAGCAGTTCTCTTCAGGCTACAAGGTGGCTTTCCCTCCCGATAGTCTTGATTTGCGTTTTACTTTTACTCTCGGGGCTGGCAACTTTCTATCCTCGAAGCGGGAGGCTGAGGAGGTACCACGAACCTGGAGCTCAGAGACGCCAGGCCTGGGGCTCACTAACGCTCCAACTTGTTCAGCGTTCAGACTGGGTAAGTGACGAAAAGGGTAGGAGTTCCGCCAGAAGCCGTTCCGCCCGCCCCCGGAAGGCCCAGCGTTTCCTGTCTCGCTCGGGGTCCCTCATAATCCAATGGGTGTTAGCGGGGGGCGGGCCTAGCGGGTATAAAGCATAGGATTGGGCCTGGCTCTCTACCCAGGTATAGGCGGGGCAGCGTGGTGACGTCAGGTCACGGGGCGTAGGGACGGAGAGGTTGGGCTCGCAGACTCGGCGGTATTGCACGGTTGCCGGCTGGACGCTGTGGTGTTCTTTCTTTAGCTCAGGCGCTGCCTGCTCGCTCTCGTTCTGTGAAGCGCAAGCCAGCTATACCTCCTTCCCTTCATTTGTAGCCGCGTCGTTGCCACTCCGCCACCATGTTCGAAGCGCGCCTGGTCCAGGGCTCCATCCTGAAAAAGGTGCTGGAGGCGCTTAAAGATCTCATCAATGAGGCCTGCTGGGATATCAGCTCGAGCGGCGTCAATCTGCAGAGCATGGACTCGTCCCACGTGTCTTTAGTGCAGCTCACCCTGCGCTCCGAGGGATTCGACACATACCGCTGCGACCGCAACCTGGCTATGGGTGTGAACCTCACCAGGTTAGCCCGGGGGACGGTGGGGAACCAGGCCCCGGTCCGCTCACTCTTTCCCGGCCCCTGGCGGGAGCTCTTCCGAGGCGGGACCTCATTGGCTGGTGTGGGTCACCGCGCCTTTTCGTTGGCCTGCTGTGCCGGGGGGCGGGACTTAGCGGAGCGCGCGCTTCCAAAAGCCCGCGCTAGCTGTGGCGCGAACCTACTTTTTCCGCGCCAAAGTCACAAAGTGGGGGGCGGGGTGGCGGGAAAATGACTGGCTTCGCCGGGCTACTAGGAAAACAGAGCTCTCTTGGTCATTAGATGCCGGCAGCCTTGGATGAGAAACCTTGGTCATGGATGACTTTAACCACTTTACGGTGTTCCCTACTCTCTTAGGGTCAATAGGTTGCTTCCGGCCTTTTTTTTTTAAACGGTGGAAGTTTATTACTGAACAGTAAGTACACCTAGGCTTTCATTGTCCTTGTTACTGTGAACACCCAGGCAGTGAAAACTGTTATGTTAACACATACATAGACACACCCCGAACATACAAAAATACTATTATTTCAAACTGATAAAAATAGGGCAGTTCAGTTATCTCCATGCTATGACTTTACACTAGACAAATGACAAGTTAAACGACATTTTTTTAATATTCCAGAAATATACCAAAATATATATCTAAGCTTTGGAATCACCGAGGCTAGACTAATGCGAGTGCTGGGTAATTGTACTTAACACGCGAGTCTAAGGTTCTGCAGGACAGAAGTCATCTTTGGTATTTGCATCAGACAAACGTTATTTATTAACATTTGGGTTTTGCTTTGGGATAGAGCTTGTATGACCCTAGAACCAACCCCCCCCCCCCAATCAACCAAGAGTAAAAAGGTCTGTGTAAAAAGCCCCTTCACTTGCACCCCCCGCCCCCCGGGGAAAAGCCGAGGGCATCTACCTAGCACAGTGCAGGTAGTGACGACGATGCATAGTTGCACAGTGCAGAGGGGACCAGCTACGCGGGGAGATGACAGCTCAGCGGTCGACTGCACGCTTCTCACACCCGGGGTGGCCGCCTCCGACCGTCCCGGGAAGGGACAGGGACAGAAGGCTCCGCGGCCCTGGGCGCACGCCTGGCCAGCACCCAGAGATTAGCACCCGGTGGAGTGGCCAGGCCTGTGTCAGAGTCTCCAGCCCACCCCTCAACTCTGTGGAGCCCTGGGGCCGCTTCGCCCGCCCAGCCCGGCCGTGGCGGTTGTGGTTGGATGGCCACGCGGTGGCTTTGCCTGCTGAAATGCCAGTCTGGTCCACGGCGGGTCACCAGTCAATCGGCTTCCAGCCTTTTATTGCAAAGTTGCAGTGAGCACTTTTTTGGACTTGAGGGAATACTTCGGGGCAGTGGCTTTCAACTTTTTGACCACTATCTAGTACATATGCGTGTTTAAGTTTTTAAAAACTTACGGAAAATAGTAACCCATACTACATGCATTGTCTTCTAACAGATGTAATAGTTTTTAATGGTCGTCGCGGCCTAATAATTTCCTTAATCACTAAAGGGATTTTCAGTTCAGAAAATGATGCTCTTTGTTATCCTGATGGCCAAGGTTGCAGGTTCTATCTCCAGTCAGGGCACATACGAGAAACAACTAATGAATGCATAAATGAGTGGAACAACAAATTGGTCTCTCTCACAAATCAATTTTAAACATTTAAAGGGAAATGCTGTTCTTTACCTTCAGGAGTGGAATTGGTGGTGGTAGGGTATGAGGTTTTTGGTTTAAGTACTTAATGCCAGATTGCTTTCCAAAATGGCTGGACCGGTTTACACATCCCCCTGTAGCAGGTTTACCTACTTGCCAATTCATCAGGCAGCCTAATGGCTAAAAGTGGTAACTCCTTGTTTTAATTGCTTAGAAATCTAACAGTCTTCAGAAGATAGTGTTGATTTTTAAACCCTGTGTCTTATTTTCTAGCATGTCCAAAATACTAAAATGTGCTGGCAATGAAGACATCATTACCCTAAGGGCTGAAGATAACGCGGACACATTGGCACTAGTATTCGAAGCCCCAAGTAGGTTATAATCTACTGAGTTATGCTGCAGAAAATTAAAATTTCAGCATCAGTAATGTTTGTGATGCTTATAAAATTTACTTCATAGTTGTAAGTTTACATGCTTTTATTCAACAATATTTGCTTTCTTTTGGTAGATCAAGAAAAGGTTTCAGACTATGAAATGAAGTTAATGGATTTAGATGTTGAACAACTTGGAATACCAGTGAGTATCAGCTTCTGACTGAGTGTACTGTACATGATGGTTATCTAAAATATGTTAGACTACTCTAAAAAATTGGATCATTCATTAGTTGACTTTATTGTTGTGAAGTGCATGTTTACATTTGGACATCTTTTTATTATTCCTAGAATTCCTGTTTGTTTTTTAGTAGATTGTAGAGCTATGGTGGCAGAAATTTATTAGATTAAGTTTATCAGCATTAAAGGAGAGAGGTAATGTTGTGATGTTTAAAATGCCTAATATATTTTATTTTGGAAAGCAGGTAGGCCTTTGTGCCCATTAGAGTTCCTATACCATACTCTAATGTCCTCTGGATTTAGCCCTGGAGGTTGATTTGCAGAGGCTCTAGTTTCCTAAATATTACTGTTCAAGGTTTAAATTTGTTTCCTTGGTGTGATTATTCTTACAACATACTTGTTTTAGATCTGCATTTATTATTTTGAATGGTTGGAGTATAAGTCACACAATAGTGATATCTCGGCATAATAAAAAAAAATCTTAGAATTCTGAGTTCTGATGTAGATGCTGATTTCTTCAGAAAGTGAGGGCATCATCCTGGTTGGTGTGGCTCATTGGATTGAGTGCTGGCCTGCAAACCAAAGGGTTGCCAGTTCGATTCTCAGGGCATATGCCTGGGTTATAGGTGAGGTCCCCCAGTAGGGGGGGCATACAAGAGGCAACTGCACATTGATATTTCTCTCCCTCTCTTTCTCTCTCCCTTCCCCTCTGTCTAAAAATAAATCTTACAAAAAGGTGAGGGTACCTACCAAATCTTTCATTTTCAGCAACTGATCTTTTTAAGTTTTTTGTTTCTTAGGAACAAGAGTATAGCTGTGTAGTAAAGATGCCTTCTGGCGAATTTGCACGTATATGCCGAGATCTCAGTCATATTGGAGATGCTGTTGTAATTTCCTGTGCGAAAGACGGAGTGAAGTTTTCTGCAAGTGGGGAACTTGGAAATGGAAATATCAAGTTGTCACAAACAAGTAATGTCGATAAAGAAGAGGAAGCTGTAAGTAATTTTAAAGTAAACAAACTACTTTGAAGAGAATTGTAATACTGCTTAAATAATGGGTTGTGTGTTAGTCTGTTTGGGCTATTATAACAAAATACCATAAACTGGTGGCTTATGAGCAATGGAAATTTCTTTGTTTCATAAGGGCATAATACTATTCGTGAAGGCCCCACCTCTGAATACCATCATATTGGGGATTCAATTTTAATATGAATGGAAAGGAAAACAAAATATTCCGTCTATAGCAAGATAATTGCTAAAAATTACAGGAAACTAAGGAAAAAATAGACAATTGCATTGTTAAAATTTGTGAGCAGAGGGTGCAAGTTCAGTGCTTCCTTTATAAATCACAGAATAGTGTGTTTGTATCAAACCTACACACATACTCAAGGATTGGATTGGGAAGCTAGGTGTCTACCTTTAGCTTTCTGGAGGTGTTTATTCTGCTTGTAACAAATAACTGTTGAGCATAGGACACCTCAACAGGAGGATCTAGTTAGGGGTAAAAATCTAGCTGTCATGAGCTCTGGTATAATCTACATTTAACCAAAAAATAATACCCTTAATTCCTAAATATCGTTAAATTAAGGTTTTCTGATAATCAAGGCAGGTTGTTTTTTGTTTTGTTTAGATTCTTAGAATATTTTTAAACTACTATTTGGTAATTGTACTAAAAAATAACTTTACTTCCTAGCCTATGAACAATCAGTTGACTATAAAAACTAGAACTAAAGCACCTAATAACCTCATAGGATTATTAGGATTAAATATGATAACATTCAAAGTGCTTAATACAGTATCTGGCATATTTAAGCTTATAGTAATTAGATATTATTTTCTTGTCCCTTGCTTGAGTAATCAACCGACAGTTTAAATGAAGGTAAACTCAATTTTTTTATATATTCAATGCCCAACAGTACAGCTGACAATATGTAAGAAAAGGTTTGTTTTTTACTACTAATTTATTTCACTTATTCAATGTAAAATACTGCCACACTAAATGAACATGTTCTATACACGACCTAAATAGGCTCATAACCGTAATTCTAATGCACAGCATGGTAATGTACATTCATATATTCTCTCTGCAGTGTGAATTTAATATGTTATGGATTCTTCGATATTAGCAGAAAGATTCTGTGGATGTTTCAAATAAAGACTTTTTAAAAATGATACTAATAACAAAAGCTGAGGGGCTAATGCCAACTTTTATATGCCTCCTAAATTACATTTCACTCCCCATGCAACTTCAATTTTTTAAAAACCTCTTAACATTAGTTCAATATATACGTGTGTGTGTGTGTGTGTGTGTGTGTGTGTGTGTGTAAAGTTGATTTTGGCAGGGGGAGGTGGGGGACAGAAACTGATTTGTTGTTCCACTTATTCATTGGTTGATTCTTGAGTGTGCCCTGATCTGGGATCAAACCTGCAATGTTGGCATATTGGGGCAACACTCTTAAGTCAGGGGTGTCAAACTCATTTTCACCGGGGGCCACATCAGCCTCGAGGTTGCCTTCAAAGGGCTAAAATAATTTTAGGACTGTATAAATGCAACTACTCCTTAACTGTTAAGGAGTTGAAATTACATTCGGCCCTTTGAAGGCAACCTCGAGGCTGATGTGGCCCCCAGTGAAAATGGGTTTGAAGCCTCTGTTCTAAGTGAACTTCCTGATCAGGGTCATCCATGAATATTTTAATAATAGTCAAAGTATAAACATTAAAATTTACCACATCTAAGAAAACTATTCAATATTAAGGAATTTTTTAGTGTTCCTATTTCCTTGGTCATGTCAGAACTGCTTGAATCGGAATTTTAAGAATGTTCATACATTGCATTGCAGTTGGTTGATATAACCCTTAAATTTCTGTCAGTCAATTGGTTCTCTTCAGTTTGTTTTGGCCTCTCCATTACAATTTCACTTTTTGAAGAAACTAGGTCATTTATCATTGAGTTTCCCACAGTCTGGGCTTTGCCGGTTGTATTGCTTATATCAGTTTGTTCCTATGCCTTGTATTTCCTATATGCTAATAGCTATAGCTCTTTAGTCTTGGTGATAATCAGGTCCTTTGTTTTGGTGGTGGGAGAGCAAGAATACATAATACATGGTAGTGTGTATTCCTAGTAGGAGTCATGAGGTATCTGAATGAATACCTTGTCATTTAAGCACCCATAATAGTCATGTCTAGATTCATTAAGTCATTGGGTTTTGCATAGTTGTAAAATATTTATATATATATATATTTCATTCTTCCTTTATTAGCTGGTTTACATATTAGAAACATTTCATAAAGAGAAGCTCTTATCACATAATTTGGTTACCTGAGATTTCATTCATATACAGAAAGGCAGGCTGAATACTTGGTTCTTTTGCTCTATCAACCTGTTTTCAAAATTAGTCTCATAGCACCCTCCACAGTAATCAGTAAAGGGTTTTTTAAAAATGTATGTTGTAAACTAACAGGTTGTAACTTGATGTTTTTTCAGTATGATGAATCTTTTGTTTTCTCCCTTAGGTTAGCATAGAGATGAATGAGCCAGTTCAGCTAACTTTTGCACTGAGGTATCTGAACTTCTTTACAAAAGCTACTCCACTCTCTCCTACAGTAACACTCAGTATGTCTGCAGATGTGCCCCTTGGTAAGATAATAAATTTGTTGTGTTATTTTTTGTAGGTAATGTATGTAGTATGTCTCAATAATTAACTGTGTTCTTGTCTTCCAGTTGTAGAGTATAAAATTGCTGATATGGGACATTTAAAATACTACTTGGCTCCCAAGATTGAGGATGAAGAAGGATCTTAGGCGATTCCAAAGTCTAAGAAAATAAAACTAAGCCCTTCAAGAACTGCTTCTGAGATTCCAACATGCCCTTAAAGTTTTTTCTATCACCAAATTTGTACCTGAGTACATATGTAGATAATGTTCTCTGTAAATAACCTGTTTTCTTCATTCTCTCTACAATTTAAAGGATAGTCTCAAGTCAGATCTGATCTTAACCTAGAACTACTGCTGTATCGAGAAATACTCTTTAGGATTTTTATAAGAAAGGGTTTTAACTATTAGTACAGTTTTCAGAATTGTATTTTCAATTTAAATAAAAGTTATTTGAATTTCAAACATCAGAGGATAGTGCCTTCATTTGAACCAAGTCACAAGTATTCTAGCAAATTCACAGCTAATGCTATCCTGTATAAATGTGTTTGGGTTTTGTTTTTCAGTCTAGAGCAGCCAGGTATAAATACATTAGAGCCATAGAAAGTACTTCAAATGCAGTGGGTGATAAGATATTTTGGAGGGTTCATTTGCCAAACTTATTTTTGTATTCTTTAGGTTAAGAAATGAATGGCAATACAGCAAATTCTATATATTTCATTATTTTGTTGTTAGGAAAAATCATCTCAAAAGATTTTATGAGACTAGCATTGTTACAGGGCAGAGTTTCTTTGCCCTAGGGATCCTTTTACAAGAATCTTTGAAGTTTTACTAGATCTGTGATAGAGTCCGAGGAATATGTTTGTGCAAAAAATAAATTTATTTGGTATAAATAGCCTTATTTGGGACTTAATTCCTTAAAAGGTGAAGATTTAAATCTCATGAATGGTGGAATCAACCAGGAAAGTGAAAAGGCCCAGCAGTTGTGAAATAAAGGCTGTTTAAACATTCCTAGCAGTTGTGCTACAAAGTTCCAAATTGGCATTTTACACACTGAGAATTGCTTTATTACAGTTCGTTTTCCTATTCTATTTTGTTTGGTGGATTAAACGACTAGTTTCTTTGTTGTACCTGGACTGAGTTCTAGTTACTGTATTAGAAGTCACTGTATCCAGTGGGTCATTTAACCTGTGTGCCTGGGAGGAAGAAGGTTTGCAGCAAAGGGGCCTGATGGAATTTTGGGGGTAATGAAAATATTTTATCTAGACTGGTGATGGTTTCAAGGCGGCATTTGTTAAACCTCGTCCAATTGTACTTTATTGTATGTAAGTTATGCCTTAATAAATCTTACATTTAAAAAAGCTTCACGTGCCCTGGTCAGGTAGCTCAGGTGGACCGTGTGCAGACGCATGCCAAGATGTGGGTTCAGAGGGGTACCATTCGGGAGGGAACCGACTACTGCATGGGTGGGTGGGGCGATGGGTCGCAGTTGCCCTTTCAAGGTGATTTTTAAAAGCCTCACGTGTGGTAACATCCCAAGTGGGCGAGCCTCTAAACTCGGAAAGGACTGAAAAGAGGGAAAGAAGCACAAGAGTGTGGCCACTCAAGGTGTAATTGCAGGGGTAATGAATGGGGAACAAGGCGGCATACCCCTGGTGAAAGGCTAGCTGCTCCGAGCAATAGACTGGAACCTCCAGGACTACTGAGCGTCCTAGGGACGCTCGGCTTCCACTTTCTGAGGGGCACTACTGCGCTCCCTGCATTGCCTAAGGGGTCAGGAAAAGAAACTGCTTACTCAGGGCCTTAGTGTCACCCAGGGGGGTGGGCACCCTAGAGAACCGGTCTCTTCTGCGGAGGTGGCCGTGGTCCGCAGCCAGCCCAGGCCGCGCGCCTCCGGAGAATGCTGTCTCCCCGGAGTTGCTAGCACTGGGGCAGGGCTGAAAGAGCACGTTTCCTGTAAGCGGGATGAAAGGCGTCGCTCTCGTGACGCTACTTTCGTTATGTCCCCTTCCCTTACGCAATTTCCGGCTCTGAGCTGGTCTGGGCGGGGTGGGGAGGGTGACAGTTAGGTGAGGCATGTCTAGAGCGTCTCTGCTTCCAACGGCGAACGAGCTGTCGTCGGCGCGCGGACGACTTGGTGCAGCGCTGGGGTAAGTGGTGCCAAGGTGGGGCGGGCGCAGAAGTGGCCCTTCAGACTCACGGCCTGGCGGGGACTACGCTCCCAACCCAAGTCAAGCCCCGAGCCCTCCATGTGGAGTGTTTGCCCGCCTCGGCAAGGCTGGCCTCTTTCCAGAAACCAGTTTTGTTTGTTTTCTGTCTAAATTTGTGTCGGTTCTTCCTTCTCTTCCTGGCGAGGTCTGGAGTCAGGCAGGAAAGTAGTGTGTGTGCAGACGCGCAGTGCCAGGCACTGTGCTAAGTGATGCTGATTCTTTTGAAATTCTTGCAACATTTAGGTGCAGGGGGACTTTGGAGTTGCAGTGGAGCTGGGAAAAAAGCCTGTTGGAACTGCAAAAATACCGATTTCCATACTTGCTTTCTCCTCTTTTAGAATTCTCATGCCTTGCCACCAATAAGCCGCCTTCCCCTCCACTCTCCCTCATGCCCTGCACTTTTTTGTTTTGATGCGGGTATGTGAATAGTTAACGGCAAAGTCCAAAACTTGTTCTTAAAAAGACTAATACAAATCAGAGGTGATTAAGTGCCATTGTAAATCCTCTCATATAGGTAGTTTGGACCTTAAGTTTTATAGAATTAAATTTATTGCCAACTAATCAGATCGCAACATTTGAAAACCTAGTGTTTGCACTGACTGGTGTGGCTCAGTGGGTTGGGCGTCTTCCGGCAAACCGAAAGGTCGTTGGGTTTGATTCCTGATCAGAGAGAGCACTTCCCTGGGTTATGAGCCAGGTCCTCGGTTGGGGGCGAGAGAATGGCAACCGATGTTTCTCCCCGCCCCTTCCCTGCTTCCCCTCTCTAAAAATACTTAAATAAAAATAAAATAAACCCTAGTATTTGACTCAGTTTAATCTAACCCTTTGTTTAAAAAAAATTGGCCAAATGGAGTCACTTTTGCTAAGCCATATCACGAAACCAAAACTTAATAACTAACCTAATTGCAGTTTCATCCCGTTTCTGCCTATAAAAACCTTCCAATTTCTACAACGCCTAACTCCCTTTCGATTGCTAGATGGGATGCTGCCTGATTCATCAATAGAATAATAAAGCCAATTAGATTTTCAAATTTACTTAGTTGAGTTTTGTTCTTTAACACCTTTTAGGATGGCATATAAATTAGCATGCTCTTTTTTCAATACTTGATATCTAAACCACTAATTACTAAAAAGGGACATGAGCATTTATCACCAATTCCTTTATAATGCTAGTTATTTTAGGTTGAATGCAGGCCATTCAAAACAACTCATTAATATATGGGATTAAGTCTGCCTAACCAGCACTAATTGCAGTTGTTATAATGATGATTATTTGTAAAATGTTATACCAGAGGAAAGCCATTCTTTGTTTTTTTGTTTTTGTTCCCCTTATTGAAATACTTAATTTTCTCTTTTATTTTTTTATTTACTTTTTTAAACAAAAAAAAAGTTTATTTATTTTTAGAGAGAAGGAAAGGGAGAAAGACCAATGCATGGTTGCCTCTTGCATGCTCCCCCCTACCCACCCCCGCACTGGGGATCTGGTCCACAACTCAGGCATGTGCCCTGACCAGGAATCGAACCAGCAACTCCTTGGTTCGCAGGCTGGTGCTCAATCCACTGAGCCACATCAGCCAGGGTTTAATTTTCTCTTTTAAAAGATATGTTTCACTTTTAGAAATCAAACAGCTTCATGATCAAATAGATTTACTACTTTTCATTTATACAACTGGCTTTATGGAGGAAAAGCACACAAAATATTTTTAATTTTAAATCATTTTTAATGTTTCAATTACATTTGACATACATTATTATATAGTTCCAGTTGTATACCCCAGTAATTAGACATTACATAATTTACTAAGTAATCATCCCAATAAATGTTGCACCCATCTGACATTATACATAGTTATTGAAATATTATTGACTGTGTTCCCTATGCTGTACTTTACATCCCCATGTTGTTCTGTAACAAGTGGTATTAATACTACTTAATCCCTTCACCTTTTTCACCCATCCACCAGCCCCCCTCCCATCTGGCAATTGTCAAAATGTTCTCTGTCCCTATGACTATGACTCTTTCTGTTCTACTTGTTTATTTTGTTTTTAAGATTCAATTGTTAATATGTATTTATTGCCATTTTATTTCCCATATTTTTCATATTTTTTATCTTTTTTTCTTCTTAAAGAAGACCCTTTTACATTTCATATAATATTGGTTTGATGGTGAACTCCTTTAGCTTTCTCTTGTCTGGGAAGGTCTTTTTAAAAAAAGATTTTATTTATTTATTTTTAGACAGAGGGGAAGGGAGGGAGAAAGGGAGAGAAACATCAATGTGTGGTTGCCTCTTGTATGCGTCCTACTGGAGACCTGGCCTGCAACTCAGTCATGTACCCTGGCTGGGAATAGAACCAGTAACCCTTTGGTTTACAGGCTGGCGCTCAATCCACTGAGCCACACCAGTTGGGGCTAGTTTGTTTTTGTTTTGTTTTGTTTTTTTCTGGTGTTTTGTTCTGTTCTTTCATTTACCATGTTTCTTCGTCTCCTAATTTGGGCAGACTACCTGTGTTTGTTTCTAAGTATTAGGTAGAGCTGCTATGTCTCCCAGGCTTGGTAGGGTTGCCTAATGTAGTAGGTGTCCTGTAGGGTCCAATGGCACAGCCTCCCCTTTCACCCAAACTGGGCACTCAAAGTGTGACCCTCATGTGGGCTATGTACACTCTCCTCTTGTAGTTGAGCCTTGATTGCTGCTGACATGTCAGTGGGAGGGATTTACCTTCAGGCTGATCAGTTGCAGTGACTGGCTGTGACTACCCATACACGGAAAGCAGCTGTGCAGGGGCCCCCTCCACTTACTTCAGCAGGTCTCTGGTACTCACTGAGTCTACCCCTTGAGTGTGTCACTTGTGGAGATGGTTGGGTGGTGATGCTTCAACATGGTCAGAAGCTGTCCACTGGGTGCACTGGCTCTGGGGCCTCCTGGGAGGTGCAAGCCAAAGTCAGCTACCACCTGTGTTCTGCCTGGGGCCACTCAACATGAGCTACAAAGAGATCTGCAGATGGCTGCTACTTGTGCTGGGCTTGGAGGTGCCGACGACGTGAGGCCAAGCTGTGAACCAAGTCCTGTGAATGCATTGGGGAAATAGGCAAAATGTTGATGTGAATGTTATTCCCCACCCTCTCTATCCTTCCTCCCTGGCAAATAAGAGAATCACTTGAGTATATGCTCCTTTTGCTTTTTTCTGAAGCAAGGAAAAGAGACAAACAATACTATGGACTTTGGTGTCAGATGAACCTGGATTTAAATCAACACT